CTAAAAGATTTTAGCAAAAATATTTAGTGGGATAAAGACAAAAATATGGTGGTACAAATACAGATTTGGTATGAGTGGAGCAGAAACAAATGCAAGAAATGAGAAAAAATCTTGGCAAGGGCCACTATTGTATAGTTGGAATACTAGCAAATTGAATGTCAGTTTTGCTCTTTCACTCATGTATGTGATTCATGTCTTCCTTCTAATAAGATACATAAGAAATAGCAAAATGTGTTGTTATTAAACAGTAGTAATTATATAAGCCAATGCAATAAGCACTGCCATCCTTCCTGTTTTAGAAATGGAGCAACTGACAAATGGAGAGTCCATTAGAAAAGATGGATTCAGCGATCATAACCAATTTAGCTGCTCAGACTGGACTGTTCGCTGCCATGTGATAGAGACAGTGATAGTAGAAAGTCAACTCTAGTAGTTTCATTTGTTGAGCCACTGATATTGTTGAGCAGACTGTGCATATATTAGCAATTAGCAATAAATCAGTTCTGATAATTTTATATACTAAATGCTATTTCTACATCTCAAATAATAGTGACACATGTCTTTAAAATTATGGCACATCATGGCATAGTGCCTTGAAATAAATGGGTCACTGAACATCTGAATGATAAATCACAATGTCTGCACCATACTTCCAAATCTCCTGTAGGCTTTAGGACTATACAGCAATGCATATGTCTCCAACCTAGGCTGCTAACCCATTAGTAAGTGTTCTGACTCAAATTAAACATATGTATAATATTGTCAGGCAAAATTTTTAGTTTGCATTTAAACAGTCAACAGACATAAAATGTTGCCTATTGTTTTTACAAAGTTGAATAATGTCTAGTTGCTGCTAGTGAATGCATAAATAAAAGTGTAAAGAGACATGAATAAATTCAATAAAGTATAGAGTAAATAAATGGCATAGAAATAAAGATGGTTTTGTATTCTTTTCCAATTCAAAATTTGAAGAATAGGGATACTATATTTCATAGAAAAACATACTTTGTTTGAATTCCTGCTTAAACTAATAATTAAAATATATCTGAAGTGTAGATTCTCAGTTAATAAGCTGAGTAGCTTTGATAATCTGTTCACATCAAGTTTTTAAATATCTTGTGAATTTGAATCATTATTGTCTCAGTTCTCTCTTAGTTTACTTTTTGCTTAATTTCATTAATAAAATCACTTATTAAAATATGTCACTCCATCTATCTACTCACAATTTCACAGTAAGTATATCTCATTTAAGTCTTCTGTACTTCTCTATATAATATAAATAATTTTGGAAATGTACCAGGCATGTTGAAGAGCGCTTGGCCTCAGTGGTAAAATAAATAAATAAATCAGCATTTAGGATCAATTGAGAAACTCCAGGAAGGGGCAGAAAATGAAAACCCACTATTAAAAATGATAAAATTATGGAATTTCTGGCTCCAATAAAAGAATATTTGAGGGACATAGAGCAAAGACCTAAAGGGTGAAAAAAGACCTCTAAGCTAAAGACATCAAATATTACACCAAAGGTTGAAAGCCCAGAAATATGCTCACATGTATATGAACAAGTAATTGATGAAATAGAAACCAATAATATACAATAAAGAAATGGAAGTCTTCTCAATGAATAGTTCCTGAAGAACTAAATACCCACATGAAATGATTAAAGCAGAACACTATCAGACACCATGCATACACAAACACACATACACGCACACACCAAAAAAGTTAGATTGAACAATATATTGTTAGATGTGGAAGCTTAAATACATAAAAGAAGAAATAGAACACTTCATGACGTGGTTTCAGGGATATCTGTGTGGGTTTGCCACCAATGACAAGGGGGAAGGAGCAAAAATAAGCTAATGGGACTGTATCAACCTAAAAGTTTTGCACAATAATAAACACTATCATCAAAATAAAAAGAAACCCTATTGAATGGAGAAAATTATTATCACTTTAATTAGAATAATTAATAATCCTTCTTATTCACAGCATAAGGCACATTGAAGATTAACTTTTATCACAACTGTCTCAGATATCTTAATTGAAAGGAATGGGACACATTAGGGAATGACCATATACAGACTCATTTTGCATCATCCAGCTTTACTTCTCCAGGGAAGGCACAAAGAAGCATTTCCCAGTCCCAGTCAGGGTTAGAGCATGTTTCAGAACACATATGAAGAACCTGGAACCATCTCAGTCTGACTGCTGGCATGCAGATGAGAGCCTGAGCCTTCATGTGACATGAAAGTGATGCTGCCTACTGATATTTTGACAAAATATTCAAAATGTTTTATTACATTCTCATTTGAGTAAAGGGTGTTGGAAGAAAAATGGTAAACTGAACATCCTAACCGCTTTATAAGTAGCTATGACAATTGCTTAACTGCAGTTAAGTTAGACAACATTTATCAGATCAAAGTTCTCTTCTAATACCAAAAAGAAAACATATGTGTAAATACAAAATTTTAAGGGATTTTCTAAAAAATGCTGCCATTGAAGCTGGAAGATGGAAAAAAGGAATGTGCAACTGTGTCTGGTAGAAATGGCCATACTAGGTAAGGTCTGCTGGCAGATGGGGCATGAGAGATGAACAAATAGATATAACATCTGTTTGAGGGTTACAGGGAATGCTCTGTGAAGGTGATGATCTTGATGATTTTGACATAGTCGGCTGCCAATCCTCAATGTTAACTGAATGCAGAATAATGCAAAATGCTATTGAATTATGTCTATGAACATTTTTTAAGTATTTCATTCACCCAATATTTTTTTCACTAATCATTAACTAGATGCTTAAATTCAGTGTACAGATTAAAAATTACCTTCCTTATATTTCTTCATTCAGATATATATCATTCCTTTATCAATTATGTATAAAATATGTGTATTTAATGTTTATTATATGTTATATACAATAGAATTTAACTCATACATTAGAACATTTGAATAATAGCTATAGGAATATCATATATTTTATATAAATATATTACATATAGTGCATACACAATGCACACATATATACCTACATACATATTAATTTTAAAATCTAATAATCCTATTTTCACTTCTGTTTTTTGGATAGTTGGCAAAGTACATATTTGGAAACATACCTCTGCACAGGGTGTGCAGATAATGGCAGTGCAGCAGGTGGGACATCATGAACAGCATTGAGTTCCTGAGCTGCCCAATACCTGTCCCATCATCCTTCTGAAAACCCTACACTTTCATACTGCCCTAAAAATTTTGCTGTCCCTAACATTAGAATATGGTTATACTCTGTCGGTTATAGGTCAATACAGACCATCTCCTAAGACAACTTTCAAAGTTATTTTAATGCAGCATAAAACATAATAGTGACATATGTTCAAGAACAATACCAAGGAAATATTTTGTAAGGTAGGTCATTCTCTAATCTATGACAGCAAAATGCAGATGCCCATCTGCTCCACAAATAGTAGGCTCTTGTGCACTTCCCTAGTTAATTTGTAGAAGAATGTGTGTGTGTGTGTGTGTGTGCTGTGTATTAGTCTGATGTTAATAAGATATTACCATTCAGTTCTGATTTCTCAATTTGCAACATCTCTGAGAAGCGTTAGTATGTACCACTGCTTGCTTTGGGCTGATTGCATGAATTATCATCCGTGATCCATTCAGCTCCTTTCTGAAGGGTACTGCCATTGTTTTGGATCTTTGCTACCATTTAAAGGCAGCAACAGTTAATTAATTGTCTTTGTAATATTATCTGCACCAAATGGAATCACTGGACTGATGTGTATGTGTATTAGTATCATTAGTGTCGAAAATCACTCCTTAAGCTTGCTGAGCTCATGGGATTGTGGTCCACATCTGCCTTCTTCAAAAATCAACTTGTTAGTTTATAGTTACAAAGTATATCTAATTGTCATCTAATTTGAATGTGTTTAACTTTCTATGAAATGAGTATCTCCCACGTAATTGTTTTTAATAAGAAGGATTGTTTTTGAAGTCAGTCCTTTTTTTTTATCCATTATGCATTTGAGTTGTGTTTTTCACTTTCTTTGTTTTATTATTAAAACTTCTGAGCTATATTTGAAAGGCTTGATCTCTAACATATATGAACTTTTAAAGAAATATGCTTTTGCCTAACATATATCTTGTAACCTTTTTAGCCCTGTGCATCCATTATACCTTTAACTTTGCTATGATTTGAAGAGTGTCTGCGTTAAAACAAAAACAAAATTCATCTGTTTGGTATGTGAAAAAATATTAATCCATTTCTATCTGTAGCTTCACTTACTTCAGTTAAGGTGTATAACATCCAGGATAGATCCCAGGAATTCATTGAAATATTTGGCTAGAGTAGGAGTTTATTGAGGTCCTTTACTAAGTCCCTGGTGATTTTAATAAAAAGAGTTGAAAGAAAAGTCTCTTGTGGTAAATTTTCATACTATGTTATCCTACTTTTAATCCTTTTAGTATCAGTATATTTTCTCTAAAGAAATAAGGTCAACTCAAAAAAATAATTAAGTGGGAAAATTTGACTCTCGACTACAGGATTTAGTTTTAAAAGCACAAAGTTTTAATGAGACAAGTTTTATTTCGCTTTGTAAAAAGTGGAAATTTTTCAATAGTAGAGTACAATGAAGCTTAGTCAAAGTGTCATCAGAAGTCTCACAAGCCTTTGAAGTTTCATGAGTGACTGGATCACTGGAAACCTATATAGTGTGATAGTGCGATGTTACCTCAATTAAAATTATCAGTATAATGAAAATGAAAAGTGCATTTTCTCTCATACCTTTAGCTTTTATTAAAGAAGCTATTCAGTCAATATTTTCAATATTCACTAATTCAATAATTTCAAAAAAATTCCTTGAAAATTCAGAATATCTGCTAAAAGATATTTTATTCCATGCTTTCAAAAGCAAGCATTTTGACTTCCAAATATAAAACTCTCCCCCTTTTTTTTTTTGGCAGATTAATTTCTAACTTGTGTTTTCTCATTATCAACTGAAAGAATGCAGCCGAACAACAGTGTAACTGAATTCATACTGTTAGGATTGACACAAGATCCTAAGAGACAGAAAATGGTAATCGCTGTCATCTTCATTTTCTACCTGGGAACTGCGGTCGGGAATTTGCTGATTATTGTGACCATCAGGTGCAGCCGGACACTCAAGAGTCCCATGTACTTCTTCTTATTCTATTTATCACTTGCTGATTGCTGCTTTTCAACAACTACAGCCCCACGACTCATTGTGGATGCTCTATCTTATAAAAAGACCATATCTTACAATGAGTGCATGACTCAAGTCTTTGCTTTACATTTATTCGGTGCCCTCGAGATCTTTGTTCTCATCCTCATGGCTGTTGATCGCTATGTGGCCATCTGTAAACCCTTGCGTTACCCAACCATCATGCGGCAACAAGTCTGCATCATCCTGATTATTTTCGCCTGGATAGGGTCTTTTATGCATTCTATAACTCAGATCATTATGACCTTGAGATTGCCATTCTGTGGACCCAATTTGATTGATCACTATTGCTGTGATCTTCAGCCCTTGCTGAAACTTGCATGCATGGACACTTATGTGTTCAATCTGATGTTCGTATCTAACAGCGGGGTTCTTTGTACATTCAGTTTTGTGATTCTGATGATATCATATGTCTTTATCTTGCATTCATTGAGGAACCACAGTGCAGAAGGCAGGAAGAAAGCTCTCTCCACTTGCACATCACACATCATTGTAGTAATATTATTCTTTGGTCCTTGTATATTCATATATACACGTCCTCCAACTACTTTCCCCATAGACAAGATGGTGGCAGTCTTTTACACCATTGGAACACCTTTTCTCAATCCACTCATCTACACTCTGAGGAATGCAGAAGTGAAAAATGCCATGAGAAAGTTATGGCATATCAAAATTATATCAGAAATACAAAAATGAAATAAGGTCATTGATTGATTAATTACTAAGTCAGTTCAGCAGAATCACTAAGATATCAAATATGAGAATGTATTTCCTGTCTGCCCAATGCAATGTTTTCTAGTGTACCAATCTTTCCTACATTCTTCCCTGACATTTGATTTAACAAATTTAGTAGTTGAAAGGACATTCTCAAGGATTTTAGCAAAACTATTTAGTGGAATAAAGTCAAAAATATAGTGTAATAAAAATATATAGATTTGGCATGAGTAGAGCAGAAACAAATGAAAGAAATGGAAAAACCTTGGCCAGGACCACTATACGTAGTTGGAATAGTAGCAAATTGATTGTCAGTTTTGTTTTCACTCATGTATGTGATTCACATCTTCCTTCTAATAAGATATATAAGAAATAGCAAAATGTAGTTATTAAAGAGTAATTATTAAAGAGTAAAACCTTGGCCAGGACCACTATACATAGTTGGAATAGTAGCAAATTGATTGTCAGTTTTGTTTTCACTCATGTATGTGATTCACATCTTCCTTCTAATAAGATATATAAGAAATAGCAAAATGTAGTTATTAAAGAGTAATTATGATATAAGCCAATGCAATAAGCACTGCCATCCTTCCTGTTTTGGAAATGGAGCAACTCACAAATGGAGAGTCCATTAGAACAAATATATTCAGCGATTTTAACCAGTTTAGCTGCTCAGACAGTACACTTAGCTGCCATGTGATAGAGACAGTGATAGTAGAAAGTCAACTCTAGTAGTTTCATTTATTGAGTCAATGATATTGTTGAGAAGACTGTGCATATATGTTAGCAATTAGCAATAAATCAGTCCTGATAATTTTATATACTAGCTCCTATTTCTACATCTCATAAATAAAGCAATTGAACTTGTAAAATTATGGCATAGTGACTTTAAACAATGAGTCACTGTACACCTGAATGATAAACAACAATGACTGCACCAGATTTCCAAATCTTCTGTAGACTTTAGGACTGTATAGAAAACATATGTCTCCATTTTAGGCTGCTAACCTCTTAGTAAGTGTTCTCACTTGAATTAAATATATATAATATTGTAGGTAGAACTTTTAGTGTACAGTTGAACAATAAAAAGACATAAGATATATGCCCATTAGCTAGCAGTTTTATTTATAAGGCAGAACAATATCTAGTTGACGATAGTGAATGCCTGAACAGAATTGTAAAGGAATATGAATAAATTTAATAAAGTATACAGAAAATAAATGGTATAGAAATAAGATCATTTTTTCTATCCTTTGCCAATTCAAAATTTGAAGAATAGTAGCAATACATTATATATTTTGTTTGAAAACCTGCTTAAACTAAGAATTAAAATGTATTTGAAGTAGTTTCTCAGTTGATAAACTAAGACTAAATGTGATAGTCTATGCTCTCAGAAAGTTTTTAAATATCTTTTGAAATTGAACCATTTTTGTCTCATTTTTCTGTTAATTTAACTTTTCCTTTAATTTTGTTAATAAATCACTTAGAATATATCACTCCATCAACTCACAAACAATTTCAAAGTAGGTATATCTTATTTATGTCTTTGCTACTTCTCTATATAACATAAATAATTTTGACACCCAGGAAATGTATCAGGCATGTTGGAAATTGTTAGACCTCAGTGATAAAGAAACTAGCATGTAGGATCTATTGAGAAACCCCAGAAAGGGGCAGAAAATTAAAACCCACTGTTAAAAATGACAAAATTATAGAACTTCTGTGTCCCATAAAAGTATATTTGAGGGTCATGGTGAAAAGACCTGAAGGGTGAAAAAGACTTCTGCGCTATAGACATCACACATGCCCCCAAAGGATGAAAGGAAATCAAAGGAAATCAGCAAAGGAATATGCACCAGTTAGACCAGCTAAAATCTGAGGAAGGTAAAACATGTCAAAATGTCAAGAATTGAAGAAGAGGAAGCAGGAAATGATCAATTCGACATGGCTATTCTACTAATTCAATAATGACTTGTTGAATCACCACAGAATGTTAGAAAGCTTCTTAACAGGCTTTCCTAGTCTTATTAAACTTAATGTCGAGTTTTTGGATGAATACTAAAACCTTTTTTTTTTTTTTTGACTAGTGAGTGATACAATGTGACTTGGTTTTAGAATAATGATTTGGGAGGTGACTCGACCAGAAAGTCGAGTGACTGAAACCAGAAGATAGGGCAAGGCCTTTATGATCAGGGTAATAAAGGATGGAGGACAGTGAGTCTCCTGCTGGCCTCTGAAATGGAGAATATGATGAAAATATGGTCCTGCTCACTGACATAACATCCTTAATCAGGCATTATTTGAACTGAAAGTTCAGAAATATGCTCACATTTATAGGGACAGTTAGTTCAAGAAATAGAAGCTAAGTATCTATAATGAATAAATAGCAATCTTCTCAACAAATAGTTCTGGGAAAACTGAGCACCCACGTGGAAATGGTGAAAGTAGACCATTGTCTCACACTACACACACACAAATTAATGTAAGCCGATTGAAGACCTGTGTGTTAGGCAGGAAACCTTAAGATATATAAAAGAAAAAACAGTCAAAACACTTCGTGGCATTGTTTTCTGGGATGGCTTTGAGGACTAGATACCAATGGCAATAGGATAGAGAAAATAAGCAAATAGGACTTTATCAACCAAAACACTTTCATTAAAAACACTTTCATTAAAATGAAAAGACACTCTACTGAATGGAGTAAAATATTGGACATTTTGTTAGAGGAATTAACAATCCTTCTTATTCATAGTGCATTAAGACAAAGTAAAAATTAACTTTTTCTCATATCTATCTCAGGTTTCTTAATTGGAAGGGATGGGACACTTCAGGGAATGACCTTCCCCAGATTCGTTTTGCATCACCCAGCTTTACTTCTCCAGGGAAGGGATGAGAGTGCATTTCCCAGTCACAGTCCTGTTGAGAAGCATTTCCCAGTCACAGGGTGGGAGCATGTTTCAGAACGTGTGTGAGGGACCTGGGACTGTCTCAGCCTAATTGCTGGTATGCAGATGAGAGCCGGAGCCTTGCTGTGACATTAGAGAACCGGGCTACCGGTTTAGACAGAGTATTCAAAACTCTATTACATTTTCATTTGGGTAAAAGGTATTCAAGTGATCATTGGAAGAAATATGGTAAATTGAATATCTTAACTTCTTTATAAATTGCTATGATATGTGTTTAACTGCATTCCGTATTTAGATGATATTAATCTGGTCACTGCCAGAGTTCTAATATCAAAAAGAAAACATGTGTAAGTACACAAAGTTTAAGGAATTCTCTAAAAGTACTGCAATTTAAAGAATGAATAAAAGGAATGTACAATAAGTCTAGTAGAAGTGGCCATGACTACGTAAGGCCTGTTGGTAGATGAGGCGGTGAGAGAAGAGCGAATCATAATAACATCTGTGTGAAGGTTACAGGGAATGTTCCATGGAAACAATGATCTTAATGGTTTTGACAGTTGGACACAGGCTTTCAATCCTCAATGTTAACTGAACGCAGAATGGTGCAAAATGCTATTGAATTATGTCTATGAGGATTTTTTAAATTATTTTATTTACCCAGTATTTTCTTAAACATGTACTAAATGCTTAAACAGTGAACACATAAAAATGTGTTCCTTATATCTCTTTTTCTGCTATATATCATTTCTTTATCTGTTATATCTAAAATAATGTGTTTTTAATGTTTACATGTATTATATGTGATAAAATTTAGTTTATACATTAGAATAATAGCTATAGGAATACCATATATATAAACATATTGTATATGGTGCATACACAATGCAATACATAAAATACATATTTAATTTTTAGATCTAATAATCCTGTTTTCACTTGTTTGTTGAATAGTTCACAGAGTACATATTTGGAAAAATTGTACCTCTGCAGAGGGCATGCAGGTAATAGCAGTGCAGCAGGTAGGACATCATGAACAGCACCGAGGTCCTGAGCTGCCCAATACCTGCCTTATCATCTTATTCAAACGCCTAGACTTTAGCGCTGCCCTAAGAATCTTTAGGCCCCTCCTGCCTACATCGGAAGAAAGCTACACTCAGTCAGTTATAGGTCAGGAACAACCATCTCCTAAGACAACTTCAAAAATGGAGTTTATGCAGCATGTTTATGGCATATGTTCAAGTATATCACCAAGGATATATTTGTAAGGTTGTAAGGTAGGTCATTCTCTCCTCTGTGACAGCATAATGGAGGTGCCCACTTGCCCCACAAATAGTATGCTCTTTTGCTCTCCCCTAAATAGTTAATTTGTAGAAGAATGTGTGTGTGTTTGTATGTGCGTGTGTTGTGTGTATTAGTCTGCTGTTAGTGAGATATTACTATGCAGTTTTCATCTCCAAATCTGCAACATCTCTGAGAAGCCTCAGCATCTATCACCGAACTAAGGTTTGGCCTGATTGCATGAGTTATCATCCTTGAATCAGTCAGCTCCCTTCTGAAGGGCACTGAAGTTGTTTCCTTATTTTGTTACCATTTAAAGACTGCAACAATTAATTGTCTTTGCAAGATTATGTGTGCCCAGTGGAATCACTGGACAGATGTCTATGCACATTTGTATTAGCATCAATGTCGAAAATCACTTCTTAAGCTCACTGTGTGCATACAGAAATGTGTGAGATGTCATCCTCATTGTTTCAGTGCTATTTGTTAAAATGCCTTCTTCAAAAAAATCAGCTTGCTAATTTATAGTTGCAAATTATCATCTAATTTTGAATGTGTTTAACTTTTTATGAAATGTGTATCTTCCACATTAATAATTTTAGTGAGAAGGATTGCTTTTGAAGTCAGTTTTTTTCCCATTATGCATTTGAGTTGTGTTTTTCATTTTCTTTATTGTATTACTTAAACTTCTGAGCTATGTTTTAAAGGATTGATCTTTAGCATATACCTTTTGAAGAAATATGCTTTTGACTGGCAAGTAACTTAAAACCTTTTCATCACTTTATATCTGTTATACTT